GATGGTGTCTCACTCTGTCATCCAGACTGGAATGCAGTGGTGCGATCTCAGCTCACTGCAGCCTCTGCCTTCCTGGTTCAAGTGATTCTCTTGCCTCAGTCTCCTGAGTAGCTGGGATTACAGGCGCCTGCTACCACAGTGGTTTTGTGTATTTTAAGTAGAGATGGGGTTTCACCATGTTGGCCAGGCTGGTCTTGATCTCTTGACCTCAGTCTGCCTCCCTCAGCCTCCCAGAGTGCTGGGATGACAGGCGTGAGCCACGCGCCCAGACCTGGTTTTCCTGCTGTCCCTCAGCCTAGTGACCTGTCAGCTCTGGGTGGGGTAGGTCATCTCCACAGACTGTCCACCGTGGCTGGAGATGGGGGCTCTCGGGCCTCGCCTGCCTTCCAGTCCCTCCCTGTCCCTCCGAGGGGCTGGGGGGTCTCTGCGTCTGGTAAGTCCAAAAGGGGCCCTTCATTCGTCAGCCCATGCCAATGATGGGAGCCAGCATTTCCCAAATGGGACCAGATTCAAAATATTTGCAATTAGATGTTATGAGCCTACAGGGGACAGGGTGGAGACATCAAAGGCGGATAGAGAAATTAATTCGAAATGCCCAGGAAGAGTGGAGTGATGCGTGATTTGCAGGAGGCTTTGCATCACAGTTAATTTGTCCCCTTTGCCAGGAGGGCTCAGCTCCTTCGTGCAGCCCTGCAGGGGATGAGGTTGGCCCCTCTCCGTCTCTGTGCTCTGATGCCAGGCAGCTGAAGCGTCCTCCCGGACAGGGTTGGGGTTTCTAAGGAGAGCTCCGCTCCCTGTGTTCTCTTCCAGGGCCCAGCAGGGTCCTGACCCCTCCAGGGTTTTCTTAAGCTCTCGCCGACCTTGTCTCGCTCAGCAGCAGCCAGAAGCTGTAGCAGCACCTTTAGAGGAGAGAGTGCACTGCCTCAGAACGCCTGGCAGTCTCTGGACAGGAGCAGTGTATGAATATCCGGCTGCAGAGCCGGGAGCTGTGCCCTGTGGGGCCCTTGGGGAAGTCTGGGCTGTGGCTTGGGTCTCCCCTCAGTCCTCCAGCTGCCATCAGACATTTTCAAACCCTCCACTCCGTGCCAGGCACTGACTGCACAGCAGTGAAAAGGACCAACACAGTCCCCTGGTTTTAAAGCATACGTGGGCAGAGGTGAGCGTTATTTCAGTAGTTACCCAGGTAGGTGGCTTTGACGGTGATAACAGGCAGTGGGGACGTGGGGTGAAGGTGCTAACCTAGTCTGGGGATCAGGAGGGGCTTCCCTGAGACTGTGCTGCCTACACTGAGACCCAGAAGATGGGTGAATGTTAGATGGGAGTGGGAGGGAAGCACGTGCAAGGGCCCCAAGGCAGAGGAACAGCACGTGCAAGGGCCCTGAGGTAGAAGGGACAGCACATGCAAAGGCCCCGAGGTAGAGGGAACAGCACGTGCAAAGGTCCTGAGGTGGAAGAAACAGCATGTGCAAAGGCCCTGAGGCAGAAGGAGCAGGGTGTGTGGAGGCCCTGGCAGGAGGTCAGTGCATTCTCAGTGCAGAGTAAAAGGTGGACAGTGTGAAAGGAAGATGGAGAGGTAGTCAGGGGCCTGGGGCAGGGCCTGGTCCTCCAGAGACTTACGTTCTGGTGTGGAGATATGGAGGGTTTCATTTTGTCTTGCAATAATGTTTAAGCCTGATGAAGGACATATGCCCAGGCCTTCCAGGAACTCTGAGAATGGATTCTTTACCTGTTTTGGAGGGGATCAAGGAAAAGCCTCCAGGTGAAGGTCATGTGTAAAAGAGTCTTCAAAAAGAACAGGCCAGGTGCAGTAGCTCACACTTGTAATCCCAGCACTTTGGGAGGCCGAGGCGGGCAGATCACCTGAGGTCAGGAGTTTGAGACCATCCTGGCTAACATGGTGAAACCCCATCTCTACTAAAAGTTCAAAACTTAGCTGGGTGTGGTGGCGCGCATCTGTAGTCCTAGATACTCGGGAGGCTGAGGCAGGAGAATCACTTGAACCCAGGAGGCAGAGGTGACGGTGAGCCGAGATTGCGTCACTGCATGCCAGCCTGGGTGACACAGTGAGACTCCCTCTCAAAATATAAATGAATGAATGAATGGAACCGGAGTGAGAGGTGGACCGAAGGTTTAGGGAGAGACAGGTACCCCAGGTGAAGGGTGCAGGACGAGCAAAGGCCTGGGGACCACACGCAGCCTAGAATACAAGGGAGCGACTGGTGAGGCAGGTGAGCTGGGAGATGATGGCTCCGTGCGGGGAATGTGTCGGGGAACGGCAGGTGGGGCTCCCAGGTGTGCAGGGACTGGAGGCTGCAGCTCATCAATGTCAGGTGGCCTCAGGTCACCTCCTTGGGCTGTGTGGAGGGGGCGTTGCAGCCGGGGTGGGGGCAGAGTGCTCAGTGGATGGTTGAGGCCTGCCTCGTGGGGTGACTATGAGCATCCAGGCCTGCCTCGTGGGGTGACTGAGGATCTGGGTCTGCCTCGTGGGATGACTGTGGGTCTGGGTCGGCCTTGTGAGGTTACTAAGGGTCTGGGCCTACCTCATGGGGTGATTGAGGGTCCGGGCCTGCCTCATGAGGTGACTGAGGGTCCGGGCCTGCCTCGTGGGGAGACTGAGGGTCCGGGCCTGCCTCGTGGGGAGACTGAGGGTCCGGGCCTGCCTCGTGGGGAGACTGTGAGGGTTCAATGGAAGATATTTGGTGTCCTGTGCTAGCACCAGTGCTAGAATCAGCTCATGGGACCTGTGCCCGTCAGGACAGGCAGTGGTGGAGCTGATTCCTGTGTCTGTCAGGACAGGTGGTGGTGATGAAGCTGATTCCTGTGTCCGTCAGGACAGGTGGGGTGGAGCTGATGCCTGTGTCCGTCGGGACAGGTGGGGTGGAGCTGATGCCTGTGTCCGTCAGGACAGGTGGGATGGAGCTGATGCCTGTGCCCATCAGGACAGGTGGGGTGGAGCTGATGCCTGTGTCCGTCAGGACAGG